AGGGGTCATCTTCCAGCACTGCATCAAACAATGTTTCAGGGCTATTCATAAAATGATTTTCTGGTAATATATCAGTGTTTCTCTACTATTCATAAGGTTTTCACTGGCCAATTCTTTGAGAAGTGGATGGATTCTTCCTTCTTCCAAGTCTGTCTCAGTCTGGAAGCTCCACCAAAACCAGTCCACCATGAGCATCCCTGCTGGCACAGCCTCCAGCCTCACAGCAACATGCACTCCAATACAGTATGACAAACTGACAGACAAGTTCGTCTGTAGCTGTCCCAACTGCTCCGCTCACTCTCTGGGCTTCCCCCTACCTGTCCCTGCCAGCCCTGTCCGTAGCGGCTCCCTGGGGGCTGTCCTCCGCCTGCCTTACCTGTTCCGGCCGCCAGCCCTGGGACAGTGTTATCAGGACCAAAACCAAACCAAACCCATTGCCACTGACTTGATTCCAACTCATGGCAACCCCATTTGTTACAGAGTTGAACTGAGCTCCATAGTCTTCTTGGCTGTAATCATTACGGAAGCAGATCAACAATCCTTTTTTTTCCCACAGCACTGCTGAGTGGGTTTGAATCACCAACTTTTTGATAAACAGCTAAGTGTAAAACATTTGCAAAACCAAGGCTGTTTTATCGAGCCGATTTCGACTCATAGCGACCCCTCCGAGGCAGTATCACTACGGAAGTAGATTGCCCAACCTTCCTTTCCAGAAGTGGCTGGTGGGTTTGAACTGCCAGCCTTCTGGTTAGCAGTCAAATGCCTTAGGCACTATGCTACCAGAGCTCCTGTTATCAGGACAGGACTTATTAATGCAATAAATGATCACTGAGCTCTGATGGTGTGCCAGGAAGATATCAATAAAACCAAGAGAAGCCACTGCCCTTGCAGAGCTCACGTAGAGCAAGCAGAACAGAAAACAAACATCATCATGACAAGTTAGATAGCAGTTATGACAAATACTTACATGACATATTGCAGATTGAGGATCCTAAGAGTGCCAGCAAATGAGGAAGGAAAGAAGGATTTTAAATATTGGGCTCTGGAGAGAACTCATTGGAGTGACATGGGAGCAGACTTGGAAGAAAATAGCTGTGGAGATACTTGGAAGAATGGCAGCGAGTCAGCCAGGGCAAAGGCCCGAAGGACAGTGTGCTTAGCACGTTCAATGAACAGCCAAGAGCTAGTTTGGCTGAAGTGGAGTGAGCAAGGGAGTGTGAGGTGGTCAGAGAGGTATTTGTGGGCCAGATCAGAGGGCTTCTGCAAGGACTTGAGTCTTGATTCCAAGTGGCACGGGGAGCCACAGCAATGTTGTGAACAGAGAAGTCATGGACCTGTGTTCTAGTTTACAGCGTCTTGGTGCTTCTCACCACGAAGGCAGAGAGGGAGGAGGGAGACAAGCTAAGAGGCTCTGGCAGTAATCTGGGTCAGCAGTCAGTGGGGGTGGGGAGAAGGCCTCAGGGCCTAGATATTATGACAATAGAGACTGATGGATTGGATGCAGCAGGAATGACAGGAGTCCAGGATGATGATGACACCCAGGTCTGTAGCCTGGCAAAATGGCAGGATGAGCCACCATCAACTGAGATGTGGAGGCCTCAAGAAATGAAGGAGCAGCACAGGACAGCCCAGTGCAGTGGATGGTGCCAAGGACAAAGTAATAGCATGTGGTCGGGCAGGGAAACAGACCCACGTCACACCCTTACTGCAGTTAGTAAATTACATGGTATGTCTTTTCTAGCCATAGTCTTTGTGACTCCCACTGGATTACCAGGTGGGACCATGCAATTTAAACTCCTGATTGTTAAAGTTATCCACCTGGTGTAATTCTGTTGGAGCAGTACAAAGTAATCTTCTGGGAAGTTTGCTCTCTCAGTGTAGAATTCTGTTGGGATTGCTTGGTTTTGCCGCTCTGCCACCTGTAACATGAGCCCTCCTAGAGTCAGAAAGGAATGTGTCTGAGAGAGACACACAGCTGAGAGGCCTGCTGCTGACAAAGAATACCAGCTGAGACTGAGCGTGTTCCTGAACTCGTTTGGCTTCCCTAATAAACCCTGTAATCTGTGAGTTGTGTGTGGCCACTGCAGCAAATCCTCAAACCCAGCAGAGTCGGTGGGTGCTGGGAGTGGGATAGTTGGTGTCAAGGTTGATTAAGAGGGCTGGAGGGCCTCATAAGAACAGGCCTTGGACTGCTGATGGTGATTCTGTCTTCCTCTTGTGGAGTTAGAGGAGGTCAGAAGATGCAGCTTTCCTGCCCCTTTAGCACTTACCCACTACTGAGGGCCCTTCCAAAAAAAGTCACAAATTCTCAGAAGGAGGCAAAGTTGGGTGAATCAATCTGAGTCACGACTTTGAAGTGAAAAATAAATGGTTTGGAGTTACAGAGAAGTCACTCTAGATCTCCCGGTCCTTTCTTAGAGGTAAGTTGCACCATTGTTCTTCTGAGAGTATAAATCCTTTCTAAGTAAGGAGGAACCCACAGGCAGATTAGCGTGTGAACTTCCCCTAAACAAAGTTAACCAAAACCAAACCAAACTCACTATCATTGAGTCGGCTCCAACTCAAAGCAACCCCTCCTTGGGTTTCCGAGGTGGTATCACTACTGAAGTAGATTGCCCAATCTTCCTTCCAAGGAGTGGCTGGTTGGTTTGAACTGCCAGCCTTCTGGTTAGCAGTCAAATGCTTTAGGCCCTACACCACCAGAGCTCCCAAACAAAGTTAAGGTCACTTCAAAATACAGCCTGTGAAATGACAACAGCAATGTGAAAGAGCAGATAGGAAACTTTAGGGGACAGTGAGTTTGTTAATAGCAGAGGAACAACTTGGAAAAGGGAAGAGGAAGAGTAGTTGCACAACTTAACAAACGTAATCAGTGTCGCTGAATTTGTACATGTAGAAACTGTTGAATTGGTATGTCCTGCTGTGTGTATTCTCAATAATAATAATAATAATAATAAAGATATAGCCTGTGGACTTGCTCATGTCAGTTTCACAAGAACAGTAAACAACAAGGTCGAGAATCCCACGAAGGGTTGCCAACTATGCTTTATTTCCATTTCAGTATTAACAGCAATGATACAGGAGTAATTCAGGCAAGTATATTCCCTTAAATACATCAGAGTGAAAACTCATAGTGTACAGCATGTCTTGAGCTCTAATAGATGAACATAAAAACAAAGTAGCAGCATTAAATTAAAGTGCCTTTTGCCAAACTTCTTTCAGAAAGTCTCTCCTGGTGGTGTGCATTTAATTGTATGTGTCACGTTAAGTAGCTCGGGTTTCTATTCATTGCCCAGGAGCTACAACCAAAAACATCAAATATTTTAAAAAGAGCACAAAATTCATCGGAATTGTGTGACAATGATTTTTTCCTGACATGCTGTGAAGCAGCCACCATCCAGGCCTGGCAAAATGCTCAGAACATCCTCCCACCATGTGTCCACTTTGTCAAAGTCCATCACTTTGTTCCACACAACAGGGCAGACCAAGGCTTGAAGGACAGCAGGTAAGTGGAGAGGGTGTCATCCATTTGTCCCCTTCCCACCTCCACTCCCTCCAGTGACAGAGGCCACCCACTCTTCTCTCCAAAGATAGACAGCAGCTGGAATCAAAGCCCAGTAGGAACAACGCCAGGGCTTCTTGCTGGGCAGGGCTTGTTTCCCTGAGGACACACTCTGCCCGTGCTTCAAAGGCTCTGCCTCCCGAAGGCTGCTTTCCAGACAACTAACATCTTGGAGACAAGAACCTGCCCAACTTCAACCATTAACAATCCCAAACCCAACAATAGAAAACATTTCTCAAGGTTAAAGAGGCCAAATGTGTATCAGTCTGGGACTCTGGGGATCAGGGAGGGTGGATATTGGGTTTCCCACACTTTCTTGTGGCCAACTGCAGAGTCACTGGCACAAGAGCCTTGGTCCAGAGGACTGGTGGCCAAGGATAGCTGAGGCCGGCGGTAGGGATCTCTAAGGGGCATAACAGGGATGCAATTAAGCTAGTGGGGTGGGGGCTCTCAGGCCCCATGAACTCCCACAGAGCAAGGTTCAACAGAGGCCCTGCTCTGGGTCGACGCTATAGTCTCCAGTCACCCTGGTTGGAGCCCAGTCCTCTCAGCCTGCACCAAGGTCCCCTGCTTCTACCATACTTACTTCCAGGGCATTCTTCACAAATCTGAACCAGAAAATCCTTCCACAATAATAACTCTATAGGCTACACAGGCCAAGGACTAAAACTAGAGCAAGGGACACAAGAAGGAAGGACACAGTGAGGAGGAAGAGTCCTCCTCGTCATGGCAACAGCCACTGCCAGACACACCTCTACACCCCTCTCCCAGGCTTCTCCCACCACTCGGGCAGCCTGCTGAATCCTCCTTGCTCCTATGGCAGAGCCAGCCTATCTCAATCCAAGCACACCAAGCTCTATCACAAAGACTGGCGTGAAAGGCTCCACAAATACAAAAGATGAAAGCTGAAGGACCAAAGTGCCACAGCCACACCTTCTCAGATGGACTCGAGCTTCTTGGAAAGATGCAGTCTGGGAAAAACCCAACCAGCCCCAAGGTAGCTCTCTGCAGGTATGCTGGGGAGCAAGGGCAGGTGTGCAGAGGCCAGAAGGAGGTGGTTGTCTGTCTGATCCCCTTAAAAGCTCCTCCAGGCATCCTGTAGGGCTAAGAGCCAGACCTGATCGGGCAACCATAGGAATCTCAATCAGGAGAGCCTAAGCAGAGGAGATGTGGCATCCACTCCTTGGTACCATGCTGTCCATCATCGTGAAAATCTCTTGGAGGGGTAGGAGTCCAAGAACTTCCTGCAACAGCAGGCGGGGTGGGGGAAAAACAACTAGTGCCTAAGGGCTCAAAATAGTACAAGACACTGGGCGCTTTCATTTTCATGATGGCACTTGGACAGGAGCTGCACGTGCCCCTGGGGGGGCCCCAAGCAGCGCCAAGGAGCCACAGCCCCGCCCTTCTCCATGCAGTCTCCGGCTCTGGCGGCAGTCCATTATCTGCTGGGCTGTAAGTACTGGTGAGTGAACATGTTAAGCTCACTGTCCAACCACCCAGCTTTATTCCTGCAAAGAAACGGTTACTTTGTAGCAATAAGAGCTGAACAGGAAATAACAACACTACTTGCTAATTATGGTTCTAAGAGTACTTGAATGTGTCCTTGTTTAATCCTCTCATAAACCGAGTTACCTCCATTTTACATAGGAGGAAAACGAGGCCCAGAGAAGTTCCATAACTTCCTAAGGTCACACGGTTAATAAGTGATGGAGCTGAAAGCCAAGTTTTTCTTGACTCTCAAGTCGTGCGTTTGGTTCAACCTGGGACCATGGACAAGTGTCTTCTCTGTTGGGAACCATTTCCCCATTTGTCAAGCCCCTCGAGGTGTTGGACAGCTTATTTGCAGCCCTTCCCAGACCCCACTGTCCCTATGGCTGACAAGAGGTATCAGAGACATCTCCACATACACACCTCGGGATTCCCCAGGGGATAAGCAGTGTGGCCCTGGGAGATGGCTGCCCGAGTGGCAGGGAGGGGCATCTGCACAGTCAAGTGCAGGGAAAGTCCACTTATCTGATGAGGGGGTTGGAGCTGATACCCTTTGAGGCAACTCCCCCCCGGCTCTGACACCCACAGGCCTCTGACGTCAGGGGCTGGGGCAGGAAGCGCAGGGTCCCTGTATGCTGATGTTATCATGGGCTGTGGACTTTTGCAGGGCGTTTTTACATTCAGCTCTGTGGCTGTGTCATGAAATCTCATTCCTGTTTTAAGAAGACAGTGAGATGGAGCAAAGCAAATTCCCCAAACATGAGTGCCTGGCAGTTCTGAGTTTACAGGGACACATCCCAGGGATGTGGGTTCATATCCAGATTCCCTGTGGTGAAAATGGTAAAATGCCCCCTTTCCTGGGCCTGAAGAAGAATGAGGACACACAGAGGCCCCAGCAGACAAAAAAGAGTCAATGTGCAGAGTGTCAGAGATCACAGAAGCCAGCACCCCTGGGTCCTACCTTAGCTTGGCCAGTCACTCTGAGATTCCAGACAGCTGACTTAACCTCTGTCTGCACCAACTTTCCCATTTATAAAATGGAGATCATGACACAACCCTCAGGGGACGCTGAAGACTGAGCAAAACAGCACATGCCTGAGATGTTGTAGTTACTGTAGGAGGAGCTGAGGATTGTGACATCATGGCACTGTGATGCCTGGCTCCTCTGCTGTCACCATCCCCTCAGCTGCAAGAGAACCTAGGTAACTAGCATCTTGTTGGACTCCCAGCACTGGCACCATGTCAGGAACCCATCAGGAACCCAGCATACATCTAACATGAGTGAGCTCAACACCCACAGACAGGCTGGTCCACGCCCAAGACACAAACAAGCAGCTGAGCTGCCAGGGCCTGGGCTGCACACAGGAGCCCCTGCCCCTGGCCACCCAGGCCACCTCACCTGAGCAGTTTTGCTTTGCTCTGAAGTGAATCAAGAACTTCAATTTTCTTGTTCATGGCAGCAATTTCCTGCTCCAGGTTCTCCCGGGTGATGTCGACTTGCTGGCACAAATGAGCAAAAGTCCCAGACAGTTCCCTGCAAGAGAAAGAGTTAGGACCAAGCAGGCCAGGCCGCTCTTTGTGCAGGCCACGGTCTGTGGCTAGATCACACACAGACCAGCAGCAGCTGGGCCCATCAGCGCCCCGCTGGCAGCTCAGCCCTGCACCAGTCCCACTCAGGCGGTGAGCAATCATAACCCCCACCACACGGCAGCACTACGCTGTGAGAAAGGCCAGAGCAGGCTCAGATGCTGGCTCTGCTGCTAACCGGCAGAGATAAGCGACTACTCTTTCAGCCTCAGTGACCTCATTCTAAAACAGGGGATGCCAATAAAAAGTCTGCACCACACAGGGTTGGGGGAATCAATTAAGAAACAGTATTAAAATGTCTAGCAAAGAGTCTGGCAAACAGCAATGAGAAGATGTGATTACATTCATCCCCACCACACCAAGATAAGCAATAGATTCAACCTAACTCAAGGACTGCCATAGAGTAAGAGGCTATAATGGACCATTTCAAAGCTGATCCACAGCCCAAGCCCTTAAGGCAACCTTTAAATACTCCTTTTAATGTCTCTTGTCTTCTCATTTCTTCCCTTCTTGGTGGAATGGAGGCCTATTCAGTTCCAACCAGGACATAGGTGTCCCTGGAGAAACCCTTGCCCCACCCAGCCTCAAAGCTGGCCCTGCACAGAGGAAAGCCCAGGGTAAAGGACGCCCAGGACACCACGGCAGCTGCCAGGGGATTCAGTGATGGGCTCTTGTTGTGGCAGTTTCCAGGCCAGGATGGAAGAGAGCTGGGGCTAACCCCAAGCAGGAAGTCCTGAACCAGGAGAACGGGAGCTGGGCCCTTGGGGCTGTGGGCTCACTCACTGCTGGACTTGATGGCTGCAGTTGGAGCCTGTGTAGCTGATGATGAGCTGAAGCTTCTCGCTGGCATACTCCACAAACTGGCGCTTGAAGGCCCTCTCCTTGGCCTTGGTGGTCCAGGTCAGACGCTCATAGACGTACAGAAGGCCATAGAGCCCAAAGGAGAGAGCAATGAGCCGCCAGCCCACTGCCTTCCACACCTGTGGAGCACAGTGGTCAGCCCAGAGCATCCCCACAGCCCCACCACCTCCCCTCCTCTCTGCTCTGCCACTACCAGGACTTTCCCAACAGCCTGGCCAAGGAGCCTCATGCTTCTACCCAGAACCTCTTTCCCAATGTCTCCCCTTTGATTCTGCTGAGACCAGAAGGACAGAGATCATCTCTAGTTTGGAAAAGAGGGAAACTCCGTGTTGGACACATGACATGGCTTGTGCAAGGTGTTTTGAGAGTAAGGGCTAGACCACAGATGTGGTACACAGATAAATGCTGGCGTGTTCTGCTGACACCACCACCAAGGATTCCAATGTCATTCCTCAGCAGATAGCTTCCTTTTGATCTGGTCTGCAATACTTTTATGCGAGGCGCTGTGACTCACTCAAGGAGCATGCTGGAAACCCAGGTTCTAGTGGAGGTTGCCATCTAGGCTGTGAGAAGTTTCTCTGCACTCACAGGGGCATGACAGCATATGCCCATTTCACAGATTATACAACCATCAAGAGTCACCAGCCCAGTGATCTTTGACAAAGGACCAAAATCCATTACATGGGGAAGAGATAGGCTCTTTCACAAATGGTGCTGGCAAAACTTGCTATCCATTTCCAGAAAAATGAAACAAGATCCATACCTCACACTATACACAAAAACTAACTCCAGATGGATCAAAGACTTAAATGTGAAACCTGGAACTACAAAGTTCATCAAAGAAAAAATAGAGGCAAACTTAGGGGCCCTAATTTATGACATAAACAGACTGTCAAGCATAACCCAAAATGCACAAACAATAGACAATAAACTAGATGATTGGGACCTTCTGAAAATTAAATTCTTCTATCCATCAAAAGACTTCTCCAAAAGAGTAAAAGAAGAACCTACAGAATGGGAAAAAATATTCAGCACTGACATATCGGACAAAAGATTTCTCTAAATTTTACAGAAAACTCCAACACCTCAACATCAAAAAGATACACAATGCAATTTAAAAATGGGTACCAGATATGAACAGACACTTCACCCAAGAAGATATTCATGCTGCCAACAAACACATGAAGAAATGTCGACCATCATTGTTGTTGTTATGTGCC